TTAATGAAATAACAGAATCTGTATTTCATCATTAAACCTGAAGTCAGTAGACATACAATATGGCCAAATATAAAATTAGAATCAATAATAAACACCTAAGACCCAAAAGCTATTATTAGCCTGACAGTATTTGTAGTTTTATATATATTGGGCCAGTCAAGCAGTAAATTACTTTCAGCTTTTTCAATGTGTGTACAAGTAGGGTAGCTAAAATTAATAATCAAAGGAAAGAGTACACCAAAACTTCTAAGAAACAATGTACAACTGAGAAAGCAAAAGAACTACAAGGAAAGCGCCAATACTCACACATGGAGGCTCTACCCTTGTACTTCCTTTAGAGAACTGTCTTCTGTTTAAAAATTCTTTATAATTACTTTGCCAGATAAATGATGGTGCAAAGTCATTTAATGTGACTGCATGCCATCGGTCATAGATGTTTTAGTGTTCTACATAAGTAAATTCAGAAAGAAAATGTTGTCATTTTAATACGAGAACAGCAAAAATGAATACACATTCATAATGCAGCCATAGTAATTGTATCACATATGCTTACGTTAATACTGCTTGTTATTTTAAAAATGTGTGTATGTGGACAGATGAAGGCAAATTAATGTATTCTTTGGAATGCTGTTCTTTGCTTCAAACCATTCCTTCTTAGTCAAGATTTCTTTGATAGAATAAAGGAACAGTGTTTCAACATGGAGTGAACTAGAGTTATTTTTTTATTCTCCTCAAAACAATTATCATGTACACTAACAGAATACATACCTTCATATACAACCACCTTTTAGTATCACATGCTTGCAAGATAAAGAAATGAGCATAAAATCTTAGGACAATCCTTCCCCAAAAAACAAGAGTATCTTATATTCCACTGCCATGATGTAGATTGTGACTGACTCATAATGACCCCGTAGGACAAGACAGAACTGCCCCAAAGCGTTTCTTTCCAAGGCTGTAAATCTTTACAAAAGTAGACTGACACATGGTTCTCCTCCAGAGTGCTGGGGGGCTTGAACTGCTGGACTTTGGATTAGAAGCTAAGCATTTAAGCCACTGCACTATACTCATATGTTACTCACATTTGTATTTTTAAAAAAAAAGTAAAATGAGATTTTTCATCTTATAAAAAAGATGAAAAATAATTCTGTAGTTATGTAATCCAGTGTATACTGAAAGTATACATTTAACTTAAAATAAGTACATGTGTTGCTTTCTCATTAAAAATTTTCCAGCACAATCTGATGTATGCCATTTTTCAAACTTCATTGTTAAATTAAAAAGTATATCTGAAACTCTAAATAATAATAAAAGATGAGTTTTTCTAGGATAGACTCTCTCCTGTTAGGTTCTACAGAGCACAGACACTGGTCCCACATCAAATGTCATGAATGATACTGGAAGAAACTCAACTGTCAGCTAACGCTTTCAAAGATTTAAAGTAGCCTGATCTGTTAATATTTAAGGAATTCTTAAATTAGATCCTAAAAGTGTTCACACACACACATTTTAAAACAATACATGCACATCAAGAGAGCCCTCTGATGTAAACTCCTAACTCCCAACTACATACCACACTGCCATCAAGTCAATTCAGATTCATAGTGACCCTATGTAGGGTTTACAGCTTGAAGAGCCACTGATGGGTATGAACTGTCAACCGTGCAGTTAATAACCCAATGCTTATCCTACAGTGTCGCTAGGGTTGTACATGATTTAAACTTTCAGCTCTCTCCTAAGGCATCCATTTCCGATATCCCCACCATGCTTTTCCCCTCCCACTTACTTCATCACTCATCATTCTTCCTCACACACTTAGACGGTACCTCAACCAGTTACTGTCAAGTTGATTCTGACATATGACAACCTTATGTGTATCTGAGTAGAACTGTGCTCCATAGGGTTTTTAATGATTGATTTTTGTAAATAGATCGTTATCAGCCCTTTCTTTTGAGGCAATTCTGGGTAGACTTTAGCCTCCCAACTTTCAGTTAGCAGCCCAGTGAATCACCCATCTGCATCAATCAGGGACTCCTGAAATAGAGGGTAAGGATCCTCTGGCTTTCTTAGCCATTCCTAGCATCAGAAAACAAAGACATCCCTACTACTCTGTAAAGGATGTTCTGCCCTCTTAGTATTGCCTGTCATAATAATGTGTCCAAAAATACATGACAGACAGGGGAATTGAAAAATACCACTATCTAGATCCTCTGTTGTTGTTGTTAAATGCCATCGAGTCAGTTCCAACTCACAGCAAACCTGTATAGGATTTGTAAGGAGCGGTTGGTGGGTTTGAACTATCAACCTATGGTTAGCAGTCCAGTGCTTATCCTACAGCACTGTACCTAGATTTCCTAGATCCACCTGTTGTTGTTAAGTGCTTTGGAGTCAGTTCCGACCCATAGCGACCCTGTATAGCTGGCATATTTTTACAAAATCTTACATATAAATAATTCTCAAACCCCATACCTGTAAATATCACTTACTTAGTCACAATCTTAAAAAAAAGTCAAAATGAGATCTTGACCTTGGCTATCCCAGTCCAGCTTTCCCAACTTTTAGAGACAAGAACTGCTCAAATAAATACCATGTGGAAGGAAAAATGAGACAGAAGTTGCCCTAATACAGTCACCAGGGTGATGATATTTCCTAGGTCTATTCCCCAGAGCATTAGCTCAGGTCCCATCTAATTTATGATTGAACTCAAGTTTTCTTTCTGCCTCAACATTTTTTAGAAGCTCTGGTAGCGTAGTGGTTACGAATCGGGCTGCGAACCTTAAGGTCAGCAGTTTGACACTACCAGCTGTTCCGCAGGAGAAAGATGAGGCTTTCTACTCCTGTAAAGATTTACAGCCTCGGAAACCCTGTACAGGGTGGCTATGAGTTGGAACTCACTCTATGGTACTTAACAACAACAACAAAAACACCTTCCACATGGTACAATCCATTTTTCACACGTCCTTGGTAGGATATCTCTATGGAGGATATTAAGGTTTCTAGCAATTTGAGTGCACCTTAATTTCAAGGCCTTTCTTTCCACAACTGTACTTTCACTAGACACCCTCGTCACTACCCTCAGGTCTGTTGCACTCTCTGAGGACTTGTCCCTTCTCTTTGCCTTCTTATCATCCTTCATATGACATCCCAGTAGGTAACTTCTGAGACAGCAGGAATCCACTTTCCATTCAATAATCCAATTACAAACCTCTGTATCATGTACATTTCTGCCCATCCTAAACTCCATCAAGGTAGGTGTGGGTGTGTGCCTGCACATGTGCATGCTTTAATGATAGTGGAAACCAAACTTTGTGCATTTTGATTTTAACCCAATTTGAATCTTCTCTGCAACTCTCTCACTTGCTTAAGAATGTAGGCAAATTAAATTTCTATACAATTGCTTTCCCTTTTTGAGACATGCTATTACACATTGTTATATGCTTATTATCTGTAAAAACTGTTTTACATCCTGGTGGAAATACTGTTGTAGACTTCAATCTCCTTGCAGGTAAAGCTTGATTAAGGTAAGGCTTGTGTCAATATTACACATTTGGACTTTTCATTTTCATGGAGACTGTAAACAAATGAAAGTTACATGTAATATAAGATGTCACTGCTTTCAATAAAAATTCCTGGCACTCATTGTTACCTTATTCTGGCCTCCAGGACTTTTATAACTTCCTAGACTAGTGATAGTCTCTCCCTGGGGCTTTTTCACACAATTCACAATCCTTGAGGTTTAGTAAACTCCAGATCCAAAGTGAAGAAAGTAATTAGTGACTATTCAAGTTATCATTATAAAGTGAGTACTAAGTTGTCTCCAATGTGGAGCTGCAGGATAAGCACTGGACTGCTAACCACAAGGTCAGCGGTTCAAACTCAACAGTTGGTCCTCGGAAACTATACACAAGGTCACTATGAGTCAGAACCAATTAGAGGGCACTTAAAAAGAGCAAATTTCCCAGGGCTGATTTCAGCACCTTCAGAGACTTCTGTCTCCACCCATCAATTCTCTGTCTACACTAAGAAGGCTGGCGCCAAGGCCCCCTCTCTTAAACTCTTTATCACCCCCTTCCATTTAACATCCCTCTGAAAGGCTATGGGATAACCTAGAATTGAGAATTGCTCTGTAAACTGTGGTGGGCAGACCACTCCCCCCTGGGGGGCCTGCAGAATGTCCCTTTTTCCATACTCTCCGGTGGCCGCTGTCCAGAGTTTCACATCATCAAACTACAAGGGCACATACAGTCTCGGGGTACTCCTAGGCATCACCTCTACCACTTACGTGTCTGCACTCCCACATCAAGTGTCCAGGGCATTAAAGCAGGAAAGCAACAACTTTCAGGTTTTATCTTTGGGAAATGTGTTTCCATGTTTTCATAGAGCTGATACTAAAAGACAACAAGGAGAAGGGTTGTTTGTGGTCTGGTCAGTTGCTTTCACAGCTGGCCGCGCCAATCACCCTCTCTTAAAAACTTAGCTGACAGGTGAGAAATTCCTCATCTCCAGATCGTTCCAGGAACTCCTCAGCATCTTTGAAAACTGAGAGAATGATCTGAAGGGGAAGGGGGTGGTGCTGAAACGGTGTTAAGCGTGTCCCGGGGTGGCAACTCTAGTGGAGGTGGAATTCTAGTGCCAGAAATGCGCTGGACCAGGGTCCGGAGGGAACACAGGTTGGAGCCGGAAAGTCTTATGGGAAGGGATGAGCGTGCCAGATACCTGGAAACGTCAAATGGGTGGAAATGCGAGAAAAGGATGCAGACTGGAAAGAAATCGGGGAATAAAATATGTGGGACGAGAGAAGGGCTGGGCAGCAGGATGGTAATCCCTCGGGATACAGACACCCAACCTCAGGCAATGTCTGACCCTACCAGAGAACTGGCGAGGGTGGCTCCCGGGAGAGCCCCTGGAGCCAGAAAGTTGGCGCAACGAGGGGCGGCCGGCCGGGCAGCGCCCCCTGTACGGCCCGGAGGCGCAGGTCTCAGAGCCGCGAGGCGCCTTACCTTCTGGTCGACGATGGAGCAAGCCATCTCGCGGACATGAGCCAGGCTGTAATCCCCGCACGAGTCTTGCAACAACAACACGGGCTCGCGGCTCAGGCCGATCTGCAGATGGAAGGAGATGCCCCCAGCAGGAGCCGCGGCGGGAGTCAGGAAAGGCGCGGGCCCCGGCCCCGACCTCGGGACCAGCGCGGCCGCCGCTGCCGCCGCCGCCACCGCCACAGGCAGCAGCGGACTGGGCGGCCGCAGGACCGGAGGGGCGCTCATCGCTCAGCCGGTGTGCGTCGCGGGCCGCAGGGATGAGCAGCCGAGGGCGGGGGCCAGCAGCGCGGCAGCAGAAAAGTTTTTGCAGCCGCCGAGTCCGGAGCTTCCCTCTCCGAGAGGCGAGGCGGAAAATAAAAACTTTCCGGAAAAGTCCTTGCGCGGGGGGAGGGCGAGGGATGAGGATCGGGAGGGGAGGGAGGAGGGAAAATGGCCGTGGCGGGAAGATTCCGCCGCCTGGAGCGCGGCCGCCGCGCGGGGGAGGCGCCGCAGCCGCAGAGGTGCAGGCACGGTGGTGCGCTGGGAGGGACAGGGTGGTGGGTCAGCTCCGCAGAGACGCCGGGCGGGGCGGGGAAGGGGGCGCCAGGGGCGGGGAAGGGAAGCTGGGGGCGGGCACTACGAAGCCACCACCCGGCGGTCACTGGAGCCGCGGCCGCAATGGCCGCAGAGTGCCTGGCCGCCGCCCCCCTCCGCCCGCGGTTCCCGGAGCTGACACAGAGTCGGGGTTCGGGGCTCCGGGCCGCCTAGGAATGCGCCGTCCGCTTCTCCCCCCAACCCCCCGCGGGGAACTCCAATCTCCGAGGACAAGGCGCACCTCCTCCGACCGCGTGCCCCCACCCACTCAGTCTCCACCACCTCTTCCAAATGTCTCAGTACTACATACTTTCATGAGTAAGGTGGTCTTTGCTGGACACAAGAATGCCAAGCACTGCGGTTGCCCAAGAGTCTTACCTTTGGTGTATCAAGGGAGGATGAAAATAGCGGATCCTTGGAAAACCACTACATCTAGACTCCTCCTAAGAGCCCTCGGGGTTGTTGCCAAAGCGGGTAGGAAGCCAATCCATGAAAATGGTTTAAACCTCTCTACCTCTTTTTTCTCTGACCGCCCTTATACAAAACCACCCATTTGCCCCAGCTGCCATGGCACCAGACGTGTACAAATAGCTGAATTGTTTTGAAAGAAAAGGTATTGTATACAGAAAGGCTGAAGGAAGAGCTGATGTGTTACTTCTTTGCCTTATTCCTTGTATCTGAATCCCAGAAACTTCTTTCATTCTCCTTCCACCATCATCATTACTAGCACCACCATCAAGGTTGGGCACCATGTGTCATCCTAAATTATTCTGATTTCTGTAGTAGCCTCTTCTTTGTTGATGCAGTTTTGATTGGGGGGAGGGGAGATGCTCCCCAGTCCTAGGAGATGACGTCTAATCTTCTTTTACCAGGGTAAGCTTCATGGGTGTACTAATGTGCAATTGCACAAACCCGGACCCTAAGAATCACCCTGCCTGGTTTAATGCTCCGCCAATAATGGTCTGTCACATCTTCAAATCTTTTAATTTGAACAAGAGGTCTTGCATTTTCATGTTACATTGTTGTTGTTGTTGTTAAGTACCGTGGAGTCGGTTCCGACTCACAGTGACCCTGAACAGGGTTTCCGAGGCTGTAAATCTTTACGGGAGCAGAACGCCTTATCTTTCTCCGGTGGAGCTGCTGGTAGTTTAGAACTGCTGATCGGTTGGCAGCCCGTCTCGTAACTACACTACCAGATCTCCTCATGTTACATTGGGTCTGACAAATTATGTACCTAACCCTGTCTTCAACTTCTCAGCTTTCCTAAGCGCTTTCCCTTTCTCCTCTTTGATACACACACCCAAGCAAATCATTATGTATTCGTTTTAGTTGGCTACATTTTGTATTTCTTGTTCTACTTTATTTGACCTCTAGTTCTGGCCTAGGTTGTTGAAAGGTTGTTTGCTCTGGAGGAGTAATAATGGAGGTTTGGTTTTGTTTAAAGATTTTGTGTTTAAGATGAACGTGTGCAGAGAAAATTGGTTAACAATTTCACAGTATATGAGCGGTCTCATTATTTTCATTGCTTGTTGTGTTTCCACTGATGTAGCTTCCCGCCCCACGCCACCACCCTTGCCTTCTCATCTTTGCTTTAAGGTAAATAAATGTTGACCATTTGGTTTCATAGCTGACTGCTTCAAAGTCATATTGTTATTGTTGTTGTTATGTGCCGTGGAGTCGATTCCTACTCATAGCCACCCTGTACAGGGTTTCCAAGGCTGTAAATCTTTATGGGAGCAGAAAGCCTCATCTTTCTTCCGCGGTCATATTACTCATAGGTAATACTGTTTCGGTTTTAAGCCAATCAATTATTTGTCTGAAAGGTACATCTAGGAGTGACTTCAGTGCCAAATTAAAGGATATTTTAGGATGATAATCTCAGATAATCATTCCAGTCTCTACTGTTCCAAAAGGTCTGGCTTTTTCAGAAATTTGAGTTTTGTTCTATTATGTCCCTTGTGTGAACTATCCATCAATGGTCTACCATTTAGTGCTTCAGGTCTCAAGTTTGAAGAGGCCAAAATTTGTGTGGGCTGTTTAGTCTTGTGGACTAGTTTCTTCTTTGAAATCTTTTGTTACTTTCATTCTCTTTTGGTCCAGATGAGGAAAGACTAATTGTTGTTTTTTAGATGGCTGCTTCCAAGCTTTTAAGGCCTCAGATGCCAGTTGACAGTTATCCCATGAGACTATGGTTCTACTGCTTTTAACTAGGTAAGTAACCCAGTCCTTAAACTGCTTGAATATGTCTAGGAAGTCTATGTAACTGTGCCCTCAATATCCTGTAGAATATAAATACAACACACAAATGTGTACATACATATTTCTACAAATGTACGTACACATTCATATGCTTGCACTCACATATGCCTTCATATATATATATATATATATATATATATATATATATATATACACACACACACACACACACACACACACACACACATACACACATACATACATTTCTACCTTTGTAAAGACACACACACTATTTGGTTGCTATTACTGTTGTTGGACTCCTGGTGAAGCACTGTAGGATCAGCAGCCCTGGACTATGAACCACAAGGTCGGCAGTTTAAAACCACCAGCTGATCCTCAGCAATCCTATATAGGGTTGCTATGAGTCAGAACTGACTTGACAACACTTAACAAGATTACTATTGTTGCAAAATTGTGTATGTTATGTTATTATTAAGTGCTGTCGAGTCGATTCTGACCCATAGAGACCCTGTATAGAGTTTCCAAGGAGCAGCTCATGAGCTTGAACCACCAACCTTGCAGTTCAAACAACTTTGCAATCTGACACATTCGCCCACAGCATCACACATCATTTATCAATGTTGTCCCTTTTTCGTGTGTAGTTAATGTCTTCATTTGCCTTGATTAAGCTGTATAGAATTCACCCATATTTGGAATTCTGTTTCCAGTCAGCAAATATGACAAGTATCTACTATCTAGAAGGAGTACTGGTCTGATGCTGCAGAATAATGCACTAGACCGCAAGGTCAGTTTGAAACACAAAGTCGGCAGTTCAAACCCACCAGCCACTCCTCAGAAACCCTATACAGGGTTTCTATGAGTCGGAACTGATTCAACGGCACTTAACAACAACAACAACAATCGACAAAGTGATTCCCTCTTCCTTCCATCCCCAATAACCATCAGAGAGCATTGGTTTTGGTGTGTATTATCTCTTGTTTACTTTTTATATTAGTGGGACCATACAGTACACCTAATATTCTCTTACCAACAATCTCATTATCTGACATTTTGCATTCATGACAATAGTGAACAATATACTATCCAATTATTTTGCCATTCCAATGTATTTCTACCAGTAATGAATGCCAAAGTGTGAGGTAAAGGGAAAGGTGGCTGTGATAGTTAAGGTTCTGTGTCACTTTGCCTGGGCCACAATCCTCAATGGTTTGGAAATTATGTAATGATATAATTTGGCAATTGTGTAATGATGTCGTCATGCTCTATTTTGTGATCTGATCTGATATCCTTCATTTTTTATTAATGCTGATTATCAAGTAATGGCCTTGTCTTTGGAACCCAATCATGTTGCTATGTGAGGAGTGATCGTATTTGGTCTTTTGTGGTTTGACCTACTTCACACAGCATAATATCCTCCAGAAGACAATCATGTTATAAGATGTTTTAAGGACTCCACACTATTCTTTATAGTTTATTAATATTACATTGCATACAAGTATAGCTAGATGTAGCTCAAGTAAATGGTTTACATAGTTGTAGAGGTTAAGCAGTTCCAAGTCTGTGGGTCAGATTTCAGGCTGAAAGTTTATCCTGACACATGTAACAGCAAGTCAGATGGTGGCCCACTGGCTGTGCAGGTGGATGAATCCAAGGTCAGCAGGAAAGATGGCAGGTTGCTACTCACAGGTTACTGAAGCGAACTCTTCCCAGGATCCACAGGCAATATAGCTGGCCACTGGCTCAAGTCCAAAGAACTGGAGGTCAAATGGTGATGAACCAGATACAGGATCAAGATCCAGCAAAAAAAGAAAAGCTTTGCTAGAATATATATATATATATATATATATGAAGCAGGCCCTGCCCCTACAAAAATTTCTTATCAATTGACTCGTTATATATCAAACCTCATCATGGGAGATGACTATCTCATAACTACCAAACCAGTTAGTATCATGGCCCAGCCAAGTTGATACACAACCTTAACCATAAAAGAAAGGCTCACTTATGTAAATTATCTTCTGTTGCTCATGTATTTTTAGTTGTGTTGTTTAGGCAATTTATGCCACAAACTAGGTCTCCTGGTTTTGTCCATGTACCATGTGTCAGGAACTTTGTAGTTTTAGCTATAACATTTATGTCTTTGATCCATTTTGAGTTCATTTTTTTGTGCACGGTATGAGGTATGGATCCTGATTCATTTTTCTACAAATGGATAATCAGTTTGCTATCACCATGCATTAAAAAGACTGTTTCTTGTCCATTGACTGGACGTTGCCTCTTTGTCAATGATTAGGTGCTAATAGATGGATGGATGGATGGTAACAAAACTTTGAAGTTCCCAACTGCATTGTGTCATTCTCTTCTCTAGAGAATACTTAAATCTATTCTATCTGGATTTGGTAGTGTGAAAAATATATGTGTGTGTATTGGTA